ATTATTCTTTACCAGTTTACGAGAAGGGTCGTATGGAGTGTTATATTCTTTGAATTGCAAATGCTCAAATTTTCCTAGTATTTTCTCAATGTAATGAGTTTGACTCAATGAATAACCCCCACTATTTCTCTTAACTTTGATACCCAAAATTGTATCAACCTCTTTCAAATCTTTCATTTGGAAGCATTCACTTAAATATCTTTTGGTATCATCTATGCCTTTCATGTCAGTTCCTATGATTAACATATCATCAACATAAAGGCACACTATCATTCCATACTCCTCTGTAAATTTAGAATAAATACATTTATCTGCTGTATTATGCACAAAACCATGAGATAAGACAACAGTGTCAAATTTCTCATGCCATTGCTTAGGAGCCTGTTTCAAACCATAAAGTGACTTAAGCAACTTGCAATCTTTATGTTCATTACCAGGAAGTACAAAACCTCCGGGTTGTTTCATATACACCTCCTCATCTAAATCACCATTAAGAAAAATTGTCTTTACATCCATTTGATGCACAAACAAATCAAAAATTGAGGCTAAAGCTAACAAAGCTCTAATGAATGTAATTCTTGCTACGGGTGCATAAGTGTCAAAATAGTCTATTCCCTCTTTTTGTGTACAACCTTGTGCTACAAGCCTAGCTTTAAAGGTGACTATGGACCTATCCGTGTTACGTTTTACCTTAAAAATCCATTTGCATCCTACAACCTTACAACCGGGAGGTAAATCTAATAAGATCCAAGTCTTATTAGCAATCAAAGATTCCATCTCATTATTGATTGCCTCCCTCCAAAAAGTTGCATTCCTAGAAGTCATTGCTTCTTGATATGTCTTAGGATCATCCTCTATGTTCAATACAATAGGAATTTTTTTCATAACAACATCTCTATTTCCTTCTACAAGAAAAGAATTATCTTGAGAATTAATAAAATCTGGACCCAAATCCTTTTCCTTTCTAGCTCTTACACTTCTCCTTGGTTCACTAGGAACATTAGGATTCATTCTTGTATTACTAGATGAACAATCAGGAAATTGTGTTACTTGTGGTCTTTGGATTGATTCGTCAATAATGGTATCTCTACGAAATTTGTTTTCAAAAAACTCTACATCTCGTGATTCCACTATCACATTTGTATCCAAGTCCAAAAGTCTATATGCCTTTGAATTTTCTGTATAACCCACAAAAACACTCTTTAAAGCCCTAGGACCTAACTTAGTTATCTTAGGATCAGGGACTTTATAATATGCAAGACATCCCCAAACTCTAAAATAACTAATGTTAGGTTTCCTTCCTCTTCAAATTTCGTATGGAGATAATTTCATCTTCTTTGAGGGAATTCTATTAAGTACATGACAAGTTGTTAGCAAAAGCCTCACCCCATAGATTCATAGGTAAATTGGAGTTAACAATCATGACATTCACCATATCAACTAGAACTCCATTTTTCCTTTCAGCCACCCCATTTTGCTGAGGTCTATAAGGTGCACTAACTTGATGTACAATTCCATTATCTTCGCAAAATGTAGTAAATTCAGTAGGAAAATATTCCCCACCTCTATCACTTCGCAAAATTTTCAATTTCTTGCCCTTTTGTGTTTCAACCATGGCTTTGTAAATCAAGAATACGTCATAAGCTTGATCTTTTGATTTCAATAAATAGACATAGGTAATTGAGAACAATCATCAATAAAAGTAATAAAATACCTAAGTCCACCTCTAGTTAAAACACCATTTAACTCACAAATATCTTAATGTATAAGTTTCAATATATCAGAAACTCTATCAACCTTTGGAAAAGGCTTTCTTTTCATCTTCGCTTTAACACACACTTCACATTTTTCTTTAAATTCATCATTAAAAGCTATTAAGCCATTTTTACTCATGAATTTCATAGTTTGGTAATTTATGTGTCCTAAGCGATTATGCCAAAGATCAAAACTTGAACATTCAATATTAAAACTGAAATCAAAAGAAGACTCATAAGAATAAGCAGAAGATTCAATTTTATTAATGCTGAGTTTAAATATACCATCAGATACATATCTTTTTCCTACAAAACTACCAGCCTTAGACAATATTATTTTATCAGATTCAATGACTATCTTAAGGCCTTTCTTACATAACATATAACCAGACATTAAGTTCTTTCTAATCTCAGGAACATACAACACATTTGTCAGAATTACTTTCTTTCCAGAAGTGAATTGTAATTCTACACTTCCCGTACCGTGAACCTTGTTAGTATGATTATCTCCTAGCAAGATTTCATGACCTTCTTCTGACTCAATTGAAGAGAGCATGATTATTGTAACTGTGAGCAGTTGCACCGCAATCATACCACCAATCATCACTCTTAGTGACAACAACCATATGCAACTCTTGGATCATTCCAATGTGCAAATCAGAAACCATTGCTATGATATCATTTTCCTTTTGTTCAACAACATTTGCACCTTCATTCTCTTCCACGTTCTTTTGATTTTTCTTCTTGGGATTCTTGCAGTTTCGTCTAATGTGTCCCTTGTTACCACACTTGTAACAAGTAATTTCAGATATGTCCTTCCTTTTCTTCTTGTTGGAATTTTGATTATCAGACTTATTATCATAATTTGCCTTCCTTTTCTTACCCTTCTGCTTGTTATGAGTAACATAATTCACTTTGGAACTTGATACATCATTTACACTTTTCTCACGACTTCGAGTTTCCTCTTCAATTCGTAAGTGTTTTTGTATTTGTTCCAAAGTTAATTCTTTAGAAGTATGCAGCAATTTCTTCCTGTAATCATTCCAGGATTGTGGTAATTTGGCAATAATTCCTCCAACAATCAATTTCTCAGGAATAGTAATGTTTAAAGCCTTAAACTTTGAAATTAATATTAGAAATTCATGCACTTGATCAAGAATAAACAAGTTATCAACCATAGTAAATTCAAAGAATTTTACAAACTTATCTGCTCCTTGTCTTTCTACATCATATTTGTGCTCCAATGAATTCCATATCTCCTTTGTAGACTGAACTGAAGTGTACAGATCATATAGACGATCTGACAACGAATTTAGAATGTATCCACGACATATCATTTCATCTTCAGTGCGTTTTTTGCGCTCTACAATTACCCCTTCGATGTCTTTCTTAGATGGTTCTAGTAACGGTGCCAAATTAGGATCCAATATGTAGAAAATCTTCAGAGTAGTAAGTAGAAATTTCATCTTCTCTTTCCAACGCAGGAAGTTTGTTCCATCAAAACGATCCAGTTTGATTGCATCATGACCAATTATTTTCATGGTATTCTCCATACTTAATATTATCCTAAGATTGTTAGATATATAGTATACAAAATAATTAAAAGAGAAAAATTATACACTGCACAAACTTAATTAAGAAAATTACAGTAACATAGGACGTGTTACTAATCACTGTCCTTGGGATAATTTTAGCCCCCACTATAAGTGTTGTTGGAGATATGAGTAACATTTACTCCATAAATTCTTTTATTCATCTAATCATGACTACAATCTGTCACACAAAAAAGTTCTCACTACGAATTTATTGCACTATAAAAAGAGTGCTTTTCCAACATAATGTTGGAAAGAGCAGCAATTCCATAATTACAATTACTTTTTTTTTTTATAAATTCCCAATTTACCATCCACATCATTATTTATTTATCTTTTGATTTTTTTGACAAAACCGCTACTCAAGTACAGTACTCAACTTAATACGTAGTATATACAGTACTTGTGTATATATATATAATAAAAGATAAAAAAAAAAAAAAAAAAAAAACCCTGACTTTCTTAGCTTTCTCTCTCTTCTTTTCCATGGTATTGTCGTTCAAACCAAAGTCCCCTTTCTCCATTGTTAATTCACACTCAAGCTTTAGAATCAAATTCCTCTCATTCATTCTTCTAAAATCATTATTCATTGCCCATCATCCTCAAAGAATAAAAGTTATGGTGGGTGGATTTCTTATTCAATTTGGGGATGGTTGAATTAAGTTTGGGAATCTGATTTTTTTTTATTCAAATTGTTTGGGATTATAAATCACGTCGTCATCGAGCTTCCGCCACCACCACCACCGCCACGGCCACCATCACCACCATCTCCACTACCTTTTCGTCACAATTTTTTTCGCCACTGGGTTAATTTAACTTTGTGTCAACTATGAAATTATGTAATTCAGATATTTTTTTTTTATTTTTTTTTTTGAGAAAGTATGTAATTCAGATATAACTAAATTAAGATCTGATTTTGTTAGATTGATTTGGACTTTGGAGTATTATCAACCTTGCCTTGATCTTCTCAATTCACGGTATTCACCCTTTGATTTGTATTTGTACTCCGTATAAACTTAGATCTGAGAACTCAATTAGTTTTATTTTTTTATTTAAATAAAATGGAAACCGCCACCTTAATTAGCGGTTTTCTCTTGATTGGAAACCGCTAATTCAAGTGGCGGTTTTGTACTGAACTGTAAAAAAAAAAAAAAAAGCGATTTTAGGCTTTAGATGATGACGTGGACGGTAAATTGAGAAATTATATAAGGGGAGCTGTATTTTTTGAATTCCTATAAAAAACAGATGTTTATTTTAAGGGGAAAAAAAAACAAATGTTATTATAAAAAAGTTATTGGATTAGTTCTAATGTATGTTTTGAAATTATAAATTTTATAAACTATGAAAATAAGTAAATAATTACAATTATTAATGGAAAAACCTAACGTATTGGCAAATATGTCCATGAAAAATGAGATTTTTTCGTAGGATAAGTGATTAGAATTCATCCATCATTTAAGAATGCTACTTCATATTTTTTTAGAGAACACGTATTTGATTAGAATATTAGTATGATAATATTTTTTTTGCTTACGTATAAATGACAAACAAAATATGTCAAATCAAGTGTATAAATAGTGTCAATCTAGTATTAATGTTGTACTTGTTTAACAATAGATTAATCAACATGAAAATTAGAACCCTCACTCAAATTTTTTTTGAGCATTCATAAATAAATAAATTTATGAAATTGCACTTGTAAGTTGTATTGTAATTAATAGTGTCACTAAACAGCCGTAAAAGTCAGCTAAGAAGACTTAGATAATTACTGAAAAGCATTACCATGAGTATTCAGTAGGTCATACAACTCCAACATCTTGAAGAGAGAGAAAATTAAAAAGATGACAGAGTTTTGAACCATTGTGAACCAAACAACCCAACCCTTCCTTAATTTCCCAAAAATCCCCAAAAATATTATTCTCAATACCCCAAATCTTTCGTTTCCTTAGGATTTTTTGGATTTGTTGGAATCATTTTTCCTGTATTCTTCTTTTCCCAAACATTTCATTTCCTCCATTAATTCTTCCTTTCAATCTCCACCCCCTTTTTTTTATTCTTTTGTTTTCTTTTAATAAATTTCCCCCCTTTTTTTTTTCCTGGGTTTCCGAACCCTAATTCTCTCATCTTTCATTCTTCTTTTTTTTTTTTTTTGGGTTTTAATTTCTGGGTTTCATGTATTGATTATTTTTGAGACAGATAGGTTCCTAAATTAGGGTTCTGTTTTTTGGGGAAATTATAATTAGGGATTTATTAAGGGCTGAATGATCAATTAAAGGATGAAGAGGTTTTGGGGTGTTTTTTTAGTTGTTTTGGTTTTCGGCGGGGTAATTTGTGGCGACTCAGCTAGGGTTTCTGAGCTGGGTTATTGTCCTGCCGCCTCGATTACTGATGCGATCTTAGGATTTCCTGATTCCATTTGCGATCTTCATCATTCCTACAATCTTGCTGTTATTGAGGTATTTTATTTATTATTACTGTATTTTTTTTTTTTTAATTTTCGTCTGTCATCAATTTTAACCTTAATCTTGTTTATTTGTATTGGTATAATGGTATAATACAAGTAGTATTCTTTTTAATTTGGGGATATATTTTTCTTACAAAATTTGAATTGATGATTGTGTATGATTATTTTCTTGCCGTTTGGTTTTGGACACACTGTTTTTAGCAAATTTTAAGGTTGACTAATGATATGGGTTTTTGTCGGTAAGTGATGAAGGTCATATTTTTTGGACCTAGTTCATGTTAGTTATTTGAATGACCCGGACCCAAAGTAAATTAATGAGCTATAGTTCTTGAACTTTGAAGCAGAGCTAATCGAAAATTTGTAACGCTAGCTTGTTGGATAACCAAAAATGTGCTGCTAGTTGATAGATGTATGCATAAATTATATACGAAGTATATGAGAATATGTGAAGTTTTAGCATTTTGCCGTTTCATCGTTGTTAAGTATTTTGTCCTTATAGGTAGATAAGTTTTCAGTTTGAAGGTTGTTCACAATGCTCCAAACTTCTTGTCAGTTGATTAGAGAAGATTTGTTAGTGTAGTTAGACTTGTATGTCATTTGCTTGAAAAGTTGGGAGATAAAAGGCTTATTTCCTGTCTAAAGCATGATAAAGTTATGTATGCTGATGTTTTTAATCGCTAAAGAGTGGAATAAGTGAGGACAGCTGTGGTGAGACCAACATATTAAGGATTTGGAGGAGCTAGAGTTTTTACATTTTGAGGTGTTCAATGGCTCTATACACTTGGAGAAGGTTTAAAAAAAGAGGGGGGGGGGCAAGGGTATTCTTTGCCCTTTTTTTCCCCACTCTCTCTATTAGTTTAGAGTGTAAGGGTGATTATGGAACAAGGAAGATGCTGAAAATGACGTTCTATACAAAGAGTGAACGCATATGTCATCTTATTATGATCTGATAGATTATTTGCTTATGCAATTGTTAAGAAACAGTGTGTTTTCTTTTGATAAGAATATATAGAGAAAATTATTGACTAATTGATTTAGGAAAAGTTCCACAAGGGTGCGTTAGCTGTTTCTTTTAGCAGACTAGTGGTGTAGCATTGTTGTGTGCTTATGCACTATGATGGTGTAATTACTCATCTTCCATTTGTGGTCTCTTTTACAGTTTAATTACACTACTTTGATTTGAGTGGGAAATTTGGATGTCTGTCATAGCTCTAAAATAAAGAAGGCTCCATCAGTTTCTGCTGTGCACTTCTGCTAGCAATTTTGTTTAGTGCTTGTCTCTCAGAACTTAAAATTCATGTTCCCAAATAAAGTATCTGGGATACTGGGTGTGCCTTTAATTTCCTTAATACAGAACGGAATACCACCTAATCTCTGCCCTGGTTTCTTTCTTGCTTGATTGTCTGGTGTTGGAGGTCTATTTACTGATGTAGGCCATGAGTGAGATCCCGTTGCTTACAGCTCTACTGTGGTCTGTGATTTCTTGCACAAAATATCTCCTTTGCTATAATAATTTTTGGTATCTTTTGCTATGTTTACAGTTTACTATGTGTTCCCTTAAAAGGTTGTTGGAATGTCTTCAGTGCGTATTTCAACATACTTGTAGCTTTCTCTCTTGTGTTTGAGTTCATTGTTTCTTTATCATTGTACATAATGTCTTTTTTCCTTGTTTATTATTCTGTCAATTCTCTGTTGCACCTGGCTTGGGAGGCCTCCATGGGTAGTATTTTCAAGGGTAGGCTGGGTGATTGTGACATTACAGATGTTTATCTCATTTACTAATAGGGTTAATTTTTATTTGCATATTAAGTTGCTGATGCTATCTAAATAGTTGCTGATACAATCTGCTGAAGGCTCTTCAAATGGCATATAATACCTTTCCATACCATTTTTAAGAAGGCTCTTGCTTGTGATTGGATATGAGAAGGGTCAGGTGCTGTAGCATGACCCTTGCATGCATTATGCTTAAGGGCATAAGCTAGATTTGCCCCCTTAACTGTTGAATTTTTTTTGATAACCAGATATAGAGTTTATATAGCTACATTACTATATGTGAAGTTTTATTTTATTTATTTATTTTTGCTTATTGGCTACCTTCACTATATCTAATAGTACTTTCTTTCTTTTGTTTTTTTCAGGGAGATGAAGTTTCATTGCAGAAGGCACTGCATTTGGTGTACAGTCTCAATCAAGACTATGTAGCTGTTTTGTTTTATGCTTCTTGGTGCCCATTCTCTAGGAACTTCAGACCAAGCTTTTCAACTCTCTCTTCCTTGTATCCATCTATTCCTCATTTTGCAATTGAAGAATCATCCATTAGACCTAGGTTTGGACTCAAATCAAGGCTTCATGTTTTTAACATTGAAAGATTGTTTGCAACTTTTGTAACAAATCTAACAATGACAACTTTTGTGCAGCATACTGTCAAAATATGGAGTTCATGGCTTTCCTACCCTTTTTCTTCTGAACTCCACCATGCGTGTTCGTTATCGTGGTTCTCGTAGTCTCGGTTCACTTGTCGGTTTCTATAGTGATGTCACTGGTATGGTTCTTTTTCCAATGCTGCTAAAATTACTTCACCTAATATCTTATCATGACTCAGGTCCTCATGTTGCATTATACTTCAAAGAATCTGTTTGTGTTGAAATCTCTTTCTCAAATTATCCTCAAATCCCCTGTTTTATGTTTTGTGCCCGATCTGATGTCAGGGTGATGACAATTATCTGTCCTAAGTCCAAGATACACTATCGTAATAATTTTTGACAGTGAAAGAATAAAAAGAAAAAGGATTAATGTGGACGTTTTCAAACAAGAAAAGTAGCACTATATACATTCTCAAGTCAGATCACTTCCTTTGTCTGAAAAAGGGTAATAAGGGAACATTGCAGGTTAAACGGGAGAACCTCATAATTTCATCATTGTTCTTCTGTATATTGGTTGGCATTGTTTCTTGATCAATTTTGCACAACTGATAAATGGACTAATTTATGGAGATATGGACATCTGAGGACTACATAAAATGGATGGATGCTTTATAATTATGCTACTCCGTACATCTTTTTTGCAGGAATTAAAAGTGATCCTAGGGACCGGTTACCACTGGAGAAAATTGAAGATTTATCTAATCGTGCAAGTAATGAAAATAGTGAGCCAGAAAATTGCCCTTTCTCATGGGCAAGGTCTCCTGAGAACCTTCTTCGGCAAGAGACATATTTGGCTTTAGCCACCACATTTGTGCTTCTGAGGTTGATGTATCTCCTATTCCCGTGTTTACTTGAAATAGGTCGTTCTACTTGGAGAAGATATGTGCAACATGTGAGGATAAGGCCTTTATGGGAGCACCCTATGCGTTTCCTAAATAGAACAAAGCAATTGTTCAATTTCATGAGGGATCCTTGCAAGGGAACTAATTTTCAAGAAGGTGCTATAAATGCAAGGGCAAGGGCATGGGCATCAAAGTCACTCGCTTCTGCAGTTGCCATTGGTGATGCGAGCACCAGCAGAGGTGCGACAATCAGTGCTAGCCATTAAGTTGTTCGGTCCATCCCAGTTTTCTTTTTTGTTTTTAAATTTGTATTTTGATTCCCCTAGTGGGTTCACAAAGCAGAGTAACCTTGAGGGTGATGGGAGTTCTTGTTTGGGAGCCTTCTCATTGAAAGATGTAGGAACTCTTCTTTATCCGTGTTCCATTGTAATGACATAATTGGAGATTGAGGATAAGAAGTGGCATATCCCATATGTGAATAGTTCAACACAGATACAGAGTGTCAATTCCTGTATTGTACGAGTATTATGTTGTATCTCCAATTTTCTCTATATGACCTGACGATTTTGAGTCGCTACTATCATAAGTAGTTGCTGCTAATTTTGATGATGATCTGGCATGCGCTCTCCGTTAGGCCTTTCACACCAATGCTATGATGTTCCATCCTTCAACTTTGATGCTATTAAGACTTTGATCCCTGCTGCTGCATTCTATTAAATGCAAGTTATCTCTGTTCCATCTTCAGCCTCGCACCTTTTTTGAAACACCGCATACTTTCTTGCAAGTTGCAAGCTTGCAACCACCCTAATCATGCTGACCTACTTCAACTGTTTGGAGTGGGGCTGGCACAAAACAAACTACTTATCTCAAACTACTTCATACAGCTTGCAAAGAGTAGATTTTATTTAAAGTAAAGAATGATTGCAGCTTGCTTGTCGCAAAATTTCCCAACTACTTGGTATGAATTTTCCGCCATTCTGGTAGTATGCAAAATATGCAAAAGTAAAAGGTAAAATTGGAGTGAGAAAATGAGCTTAACAACCCTCATTCATTAAATCTACAGGCTGAAACATGCAAAGACAAACGTGGACATGAAAAGGTTACATGGTTAAGGAGATGATTGCTTAGTATATCGTCTAAAATCCATACTAGAATCAATTCACAAGACAAGTCCCAGGAATTCTATAAATAGAAGAGTCTTCATCACAAAAGATCCAATTTTCCTCCGCTTGACCATTGAAATTACATAATCCACATATTCTAGCAGCATATCTGCCTGAGCCTGTCCAATTCCGCATGCACACAAGTGCATATCAGTCTCCAATAAACTAATTCTGAGAAGATGTAATGGAAAATGACTGCGTAAAGAAGATTGTGTAAACAGGAGCTGCATAGGTAAAGAACACATAAAACCGAAAATAAAAGGTAATCCGCATACCTTTAAACATAATTTGTATGTTCACTAATCATCAACTTCAACGGTCCCAAGATCCCTATTTACAATCTAATATAAAAAAAAAAACATTTGTCAGGCAGTTTGGAAAGCACAACGTGCCAAGAGACATCTAACATGAATTAGGGTACAAGATGTTGGATATTGAACAATGAACATTCAGAAGGGATTAATGATGGCAATTAGACAACTGCATTTGAAAAAAAAAAAAACACACACACACACACACACACTTACATCTAATACTACACTCAAGATGCAAGACATCCAGATGACGTAACCAGATACTTCATACAGTATTAGACAATATCAAACAGCTAAGAATGGCAAAGCAAAAATAAAATTCTTGATTTCATTGAGATTTATATTAAAATAATAATAATAATAAAAAAAAAAAAAAAAAAAAACTGAAATTCAACTGGTTAGAAAGAAGAGGATCACATAAATTTCATTAGGAAATGGCCAATAAGGATCCCAAAAAAAGGTAAATCACGACATGTATAGTACATTAAGGAAAACATAATGCCGCCAGTTGACTAGAGTATACCTGTGATATGTACTCTTTAATTTTCTGGCTAACTTCACCATCTAATGCTCTCTCAGCAAGCTCATACATAACAGTGGTTCCTTCAGGACCGTTAACTTTATCCTTTTGAAGATACCTGGAAATAAGAATAAAAGATTTATTAAAAAAAAACCAATGAATAAGGACTATAAGGCATTCCACCCTGCTGAAACAAAGTTACACATATTTCTTCTTCCAGAATCGAGCAAATACCTACCTCTGTTGTACAAGTACCTCCAGTGAGAGCTTGACATTTCCAAGGGCTGGATGATTTTCATCAGCTTCTTGCAGTCCCATTCGTCTCATGTGATGCCACAGATTCTCTGAAAATTTAAAGTTTATGGAATCAAAAGCCAGTATAGAAGGAAAAAATAAATAAATTGGGGACCAATGAATCTCTAAAGACTCTAACAGTGGCAGGTTCTGAAGTTTGGGTGAAGTTATTGGATAGAAATGCCCCAATATTGCATTATAAAGAGAACATAATAGTACAGAAGCTTGCAAGCAGTAAAAACACGGCAAACCTTCTGAAATTTTCCCTCCAGCAAGGTGTACGACACTGATAATTACAAACGTGAATCCTGTCAGGTGTGCTGTAGAAATATCCTCAACATGCTTCTGATATACATTAGCAGGCAGTTGACTTATGACAATATAAGATCTCATATCAGCAGCACCTTCAACAAATAAGGTAGATATTCAGTAAAAGCACCCAGGGAAAAGGAAAAGGAAAAAAAAAAAAAAAGCACACAAAATATGGGAAAAAAACAATAAAAAGAATGAAAGAGGACGATGCTGCTCGTGTAAACCTTAAGGCAAGTGTTGCACAAGATTATTTCACAGTGAGACCTCAAAGGTTAAGGTAAATGATCTTAATAACGGATGTACTTTATGTTGATAAATCAAAAGGACAGAATTTGGACTTCTCTAACACAACTTTTACTACAACTCTTACAAAAGAGAGATTCACACCATAGAAACAAAAAAATTCCACTTTTCAAAACAAGGATGATTCTGTTGTTGAATCTGAAGGTCTCACTCTCACCTTCAACACAAAATGATACACAAGGGGCATTTACGATCTACAACAGATCAAAAGAGCATTCTCTGAAACCAAACACATAAATCGAAAACTATGATCAAAAGGGCATTTACTTTTATCTTTAACTATACACTACTACAATTGATCAACTCTCTAGCTAACTTGTCAAATATCATCCGTTCTGACATGCAATTGAAAAATTCAATAAACATACTAACACGAATAAAAACAACTTCAAATAAAGCTAATTCGACACTCACTATTTTGAGAAGAGCGAGTTTGGTTTTTGGCTGGAGGACGAGTACGTTGAAGCTCCTTCAAATCATAACCAAATAAGCCAGCAAGCTTCTCTTTGGCCTTATCAATTACAGCAGCAGGAAGGGCTCGCAGCCGATAATTCTTGGTAACAATTGGGTAAGTTCCTCTCTTTTAATGGGGCAACCCGAGCTTTGGTGAGTTTTAAATAGAATGTAACGAATTACCTCAGCAACAAGCCTATCCTTTTCCTACAAAACCCCCCAAAAATACAGAATATAGAAATTTAAAAAATTAACAGTGAAATTGAATTATTAGTTCATCAATTTAGAGAAAATGGAACTACCTCATCTGACAAATCAAATTGTGAAAGATCTTCAACCCCAGTACTCATTCCTGAAACAAACTAACTGAAACAAAAAATAACCTAAATTACGAGAAATCATACCCTAAATAATGTGATTTATAATCTATGAAAGTGATTGCATTTTAAGAAAAATTTACTTGAAATTAAATACATTATAACTGTCCAAATTCAACACACTAAGAGATAAATAGTTTTTGATGCAAACACACTAAGAGATTAATAGAGTAAAAACATAATTTATTGAATAAAGTTAGCCAGATGTAATGCAGAAAAGGAGAGAAATCAATACCAGATCAGTGGATGGTTCGCCGGTAGTTTAATTGGAAAATTTCAGGCTAGGACGCTAGGAATTGCCAAATTGGGAATTTGGGGAAAGGAAGATGAGAGACGAATTTTAGTGTACACGTTTAATTTTTTATTTTTACGTTAAATCCAAATTCTAAAAAAAAAAAAAAAAAAAAAAAAAACCGAGTGTATGTTAATTTATTGCAAAACGGGTTAAAGTTATATTAAAAGTAATTAAAGTTACTCTTTATACTACAAAAGTTATTATTTTTTCTAATTATAAACTTTATCTTACAAATACTTATAATGTATTAGATTAATCTATTAGCCTTTATAATATGTAATCATGAATCTATAAGAAATTACAAATCAAAATAAAATTCAAACTAACAACAAATTAAAAGTTACCTTTTTAAAAAGTTAAAGTTACCATTAATATAGTAAAAGTTACCCTCAACTAACCGTCTTACAATAAAATTAACGTACACCCGCCTTACATAAGACTTATTGTTTTAGATTAAAATAAATGTGTTGACATTTGATTAAAAGATAATTTCAAGTTAGAAAAGTTCTGATAATTTTTAATTTTGCTTAAAAGACTTATTAAGAGTTTGTTTGTTTCATCTCATTTTAATTATTTTTTTTAATCTTATTTCAAGAAAAAAAAAATTAGTAAAAAAATTTTAAATAAAATAATTTCAGATAAAAGAATTTCAAACAAAATAAGTTCAGATTAAATAATTTCAAACAAAACCAGTTGAAGCAAACAGGACTTTAAACACCCAAGTTTAATTTACAGCCAATAACTTTTAACAATAATATTCAGTAAAAATTAGGTGAATAAAACACATTCTTAATAACATTTAGAAAATTTGAATATGTAAGCTACTTGCTTTGCCCTTGACACAAACAAAAAGTATTAGCAACTTAAGTTAGAAGTATGTACAAAGTTATTACAAGATCAGAGAATAGATGATGCATAGCTTGTCCCGGAACATCCTAGATTCCAGTTCTATGGCCTATAACAACAATGAATTGGTGATGCTAATTAGCTAGGCAGTGGCCTAGTGTTTGTGTTATATGCATCACAATTAAGAGTGTAAATTATCAGTCAAATACTCGTGAACAACTGATCAATATATAGGAACTCCCGTAGGCGAAAGCCGATCTACCACTTGAATTTTGTGTTCATTTATTTGCCACTGCTATTGGAGTGATTATGGTGAGATGTTTGGGAACCGATCAAGAAAGCCTTCAAGTGCTTGTAGAACTCCTTAGGTCTCTCGACGTTGAAACCGTGCCCAGCTTTCTTTAGAACCACTAGCTGAGCATTGTCTCCCAGATGACTACATATTGAGACACCAAATTTAGCTAAGAAGATCATATACTATTCTTCTGTTACAATACAGAGCAAATGATTAAGCTAATCAATTTGGTGTTGATATATACGTACCTTTTCAACCTGTAAGCAAATTCCACTGGGAATACCTGATCCTGATCTCCCCAGATTATCAATGTAGGCTGCAGCCAAAAATGTTTAACCATTTAACATTCAAAGGTGACATCTTATAATTTCATTTACATGTCAACACGAACTAATCCAATAAAAAGATAAGAAAAATAACTCTATCGAAAATCAGTTGTCACATTAATAGTGTAATTTTTTAAGTAATAACGTGACAACTAAATCTGGACATAAATAATACAAGAGTAGTTTAGTAAACCTGAGTGATTTTAGGAATTTTGGAGATCTTTCGATCTTTTGGAATAGCCCGGATTAATTCCCTTTTCTCTTGACAAAAATCTGTACACATGGCCTGCCACGAAAGTGCCCTTGTCACTTTAGATAAAGTTCAAAATAACCAGAAAATTCCAGAATATATTTTCAATAGTTCAATGTAATTAAGCCAAATTCAAGGTAACAACATTTAAAATTAACTACCACCTCCGTATATTCTGTATTAATCTTCTCCAATGTGAAGTTTAACCATTAGTTTTTGTGTGTAGCTAGGATCAGTGTAAACCTAACAAGTTTCAATACTATGAGTAAGATCAACTGAATATGTACATCATGCGAATGTAATTTCAACAGCATTTTTAGTCCAAATTAAAATCTTGACCTCACAAATTACACATGTAGTAGATTACCATGTCATATCATATGTCTACCATTTACCAAACCACCAACCTGGCTTCATGTATGTGCTTACAGTGTGAATCAACCACAATCCCATACAAGTATAAATCAATAAAACATTGTTGAACCAAGAAAACTTGCGTTTATTAATTTACTATATACACCCAAGATTACCCATAATTGCGCTTCCATCGGTGCTCATAGGACACACATTCACACACCGACATTAGATCAAAATTTTAGGTACATCCGAATGCATAGAAATGTACAAAGATGAATCACAAAACGTGTATTGGCATATTCATTAAGGAAATTAACAAAATACTTAATCTTCAAGGAACGAACTCTACTCTTAAATCATAATAATTCCGACTATATTCCAAACCAAATCATCAAGCTAACCTTAACAAAATCACACCCAAACACTAAGAATAACATTGATCATACTAGGAAAAAAAAATTGATCATATAAATAAAAAGGGAGGTCCAAATTAAACTTACATGGATAAAATCATTGAGAAAGCAATTAGGAACAATCTTCGGAGGCTTAACCATAGTAAAACTCATAAGCTCCTTCAACTTCTCTGGAGTCTGAGGCAACAAAATATCAGCAGCATCTTCCAAATCCTTAACCTTAAACTTCCCTTCAACCAAATCTTTTTCCTCCATACAAATAGCAGCACAACATATCACAACTCTTTCAACAACCTCTTTAAACTGAGCTGCCATGCTATACGCCACGAACCCGCCGTAGCTTAAACCCACCAAGCTCAACCTCCCCTTTACTGAATGAGCCTCCATGAGCCTCATCAAGCATTGAGCTTGAAACGAGTCGGCTCGTTCGGGCCGACTCGTGTATGACTCTCCGAAGAAGAGGAGGTCAGGTACGTAGACGTTGAAGTGGGGGGTCATGTGGCCTACTAAGTCACCCCATTGCCACATTGCATTGGCTCCGAACCCATGGATGAGGAGTAAATTGGGCTTGGACTCTTGGTGGGCTTTGGGGGCCCAACAGTGCAGAACGGTGCCGTCACCGAGGTCCGTGGTGGTGGACCATAGGCCCGAGTTGTTGAAGGTGTAGCGGTAACACCGGTCTCTTAGATAGGTGAAACTAAAACAACGGGTCATTTTGTTAGGTGTTTAGTTTGGGAGAAGATCATAAGGTGGGAAGTAACTTAACAAAGCAAGGAATGGTCAGGAAAAATAAAGGATGTTTTTTGTAGCTTTTTTTAATTTAACACTTTGTTTGGATAGGAGAAAATGGAAGGAAAAGAAAAGAGGGGGCCAAACTCTCTTATTTGGGTAAAAGATTGGGGGAAGGAAGGGAAAGGAGGGGGAAGGATCCATTTTCCCTCTCCCTTTAATAAACATAATCCTTCCAAAATTAGAGTGATTTGGAGGGAATTTGGAATTCACCTCCCCTTCCCTTTCTTTCCCTTTCCCTTCCTCCTATTCCCCTCCCTTTTCTTTCCTTCTTTATTCGTTATCCAAACAAAGTGTAAGGGAAAAATATTGGTAAAGTAAAAAATAAATTAGATTTTGATTTTGTTGTTATTGAAATGACCTAAAGGTTTGAGAATTTTGGATTTGAGAGTAGTTATAATAATGTACTCTGTATGAATAACATGTATTTTTTTTTATTTGTGTTTTGTTTATTGACGTTTAGAGAGCCACAAGGACGGATGATGAGAATCGATTCCAGAATCACCTGAAGGGGAGCCTTAACCACTTGAGTTATCCCTCACTCTCATTTGTGTTATGTGACTCTATCTAAACACAAATTAAACTATTTATCCCTCACTCTCATTTGTGTTATGTGACTCTATCTAAATATAAATTAATCTATTTATTTTTAAATTAAATTGCAACATTTTTTCAATGAGTTCCACATTTTTAGCCAAACTGTTAATTTTTTTTTTTAGAATGGAGATTTACTCTGCATATATTTTTAGATAAATTTTAGATTAAAATTAAGACATGATGTAGGAATGTAGGATACATCATAATACTCACTTGAAAACTTCTAATATTCTAGAAGCCCCATCTAAGTGTCATCTACATAACATGATTGTAAGATTTGTAACATTAGAGATTCAACCTAATTTCAATTTTCTAAAAAACTATCTACAATAGAGTAAATGACATGCCATATAACAGCGAAGATCAAATTATACTAGTATTACCTATGTCTGATCTCTCTAGCTTATTCATTCTAGCTACCAAACTATTTGAAATATGCAAAAATTTGTGCATCATGATTAAGACTATTCTTTAATTAATTTTTTTTATAATAAGGATTTGTTTTATTCACATCATGTTATCCAATTTAAATTACAATTAAATAAGTTTTAATAAAGTTTAATAATTAAAATAAATTTAATAAATTAATGTAAATCCTTGAAAGAGTATATGGTCCTTTACTGTGAATCTGTGATAAAAGATTTTGTTCAAAAAAACCAAAAAGTATGATAAAAGATTTTCTTTAAAAGGCCAGTCTAGAAGATTTGAGAAGAAGTAAAGGTTCTGGAAACCACTTGGACCTTGCCACCTTGTTATGCTTATGTTTGCTCATACGAAAGCAGCGATTGAGATTTGGAGACCGGATAAAAAATAGACTAAGACTATGAGTGAAGTGCACTCTCTTCAACAACTTTTAGTAAATTCAATATACTATCTCTGTTTCATGGTTGAACAAATGAGCTTGTACAGAAAAGAAAAATATAGATAAAAATAATAATTTAAAAATTGGAAAGAAAATATTTGTTGTACATAATGTGTATAGTAAATAACTAAATAAGTTAGGGCGAAGAAAATACAGCCGAAAAAGGAGCTTCCCCGTTTTCTCTTAGTCATAAACAAACCTCATTGTATTTTCGTAAATAAATCAACAATTTTATCCAATTACCATCCAAAGTAGAACCCACATTAATGAAAAACTTGTTAATTTATTTACAAAAATGTCACGTGATAAACAAAAACACGGAGAGAAACTTGTATTTTCCCTAAAAAGGATGTCATGGCCTAATTGATCAATATTATTTCATAATTAGTAAGTTTTCTTGTATCGGCCTATTTTATGACTAATTAAGAACAGTGATAATGATAATGAAATTGAATGTAATTTCATTAGTAAAGTATCATCATGTAGGGATAAACTACCATGGAAATAAACGTGAGCTGTTCTCATTGAATCATTGCCATGATTTATCACCATTTGCAAAGTACCAATTTACAAAAATGGGCTGATAGTATAAATTTTTTTAACCGATTTGAAAACATACATAAAGTGTCATTTTGGGCTTGATGTAAAATGAACCTTATAATGTATAGTTATTTCATAAAATGTCACTGAGCAATTGCAAAATTCACCAAATGCCATCAACCTTTTCAAAATTCACTAAATGTCATCGAGTTTTAAAAAAAATTCACCGAGTGCCATTAATGATTAACAGTCGTTAGTTGACCCAACCACTTGCCACGTGTCACCTTCTGATTGGTCCATTTTTTAAAATAAAAAAAATAAAAAAATAACAAAAAATTAAAGAAAAAAAAACAAAACAAAATTTTTTTTTTAAAAAAAAGAACTCAGAGGTGGCCAGCTACCACCACCCCCTGCCGCCGACGACTCCTCCCCTATCCCGTCGCGACCCCTTAACCCACGAAATGTCCATCCTTTCTTTTTTTTTTCTTCTCTTTATAAACAGCGATGTCACCAAAAAAAACTAAGGGTGGAAATAGAGAATAAAGCATGGCCAGTAATAGGAATCGATCTTAGGACAACATACTCTTGTGTTGGAGTATGGCAGCACGACCGTGTTGCTGGTGGGAGTTGGTGTGGTAAGTTCGCTGCGATGGTTGTGAACTAATGGAGAGGGAGAGGAAGGGGGGTGGGGTTTCGGGGTGGTGGGGTTTCGCGGGTTAGGGGGTTGTGACAGGATAGGGGAGGGGTCGCCGGCGGTCGGCACGCCTTTCGTTGCTAGCTTCGGCGCCAGGGGGTGGCGGCGGCTAGGGTTTTGGGGTGGGCAGGGGGCTCGACGGCGGGAGCCACCTCTGAGGTTTTTTTTTTTTTTTTTTTAATTTTTTGTTATTTTTTTTAATTTAAAAACGAACCAATTAAAAGGTGACACGTGGCAAGTGGTGGGGTCAACTAACGGCTGTAGTCATTAATGACACTTGTAAAAAATTTTAAAACTCGGTGGCATTTGGTGAATTTTGAAAAGGTTCATGGCATTTGGTGAATTTTGCAATTGCTCAGTAGCATTTCATGAAATAACCGTATAATGTATGTTTGTCCATTGGGTGCAACCCCATGCAATAAGGTCCCATTGTCCCAAGACGTTAATTGTTAAAGCTCACAAGTCAAGAGTAGAGGTGTTAATTCGGATATTTGGGTAAAATTTGGTGACAATAAGAACATTTTAAAATTAAATCATGTTAAATTATTACGTTTAATGAAGATTTCTTAAGTTAGGTATTCATTGAACATGAGTCCTAACCATTAGAGGACCCTAACCTTTTTTTTTTATAGGTGAGTTAGCCTTATCGGCTTATCTGAAAAGAGTGGCCATAATGTTCACATTTTTGGTCTTTTCTCGGAGTTCTCCACAAGTACATTCCAAGGAATTTGGTTCTATCTAAAGTTCACAGGTGTTCATAGTTTATAATTTACATTTTGAGTTTTTTTTTACTCAAATCAACATTAATTTCAAAGTTCAAAGTTAAAACGTAACTCCCAAAAAACCAGAGCTCAATCCCAAAAACTGGAGAAAATTTTTAAAAAGAAAAAAAAAAAAGATCGCTCAGTAAAGTAAAATCGACACACACAGGATAAACCTGTTTTCCGGTCTGTTGAGCTTGATTTTTCAATAGTCATCAATGCGATCAAACCATCCTTAATCTAACTATTCACAATCAAATTAATAAAAATCAGGAATTTGATACAATATACCAAAAAGAGGGAGTCCAAATTTGAAGTAAAAATGTTTCAAATAAGGACAAATAAAACCCTCAAAAATTGGAGAAATTAAATATATGCCTCCAGAACAAAGCATTACAAGAAATCGATCCCAAGATCTCACAACTTGCAGCCGAAAGGGAAGGCATTTTTTCTAATTTAAACTACTACTACTGTAATACTAGTATTAGAGAAATTATGATTGATTGAAAGTTGAGATTTGAGAAGAGAGACAATATGACTTGCCAAATTAATGCTGTGAAGATTCATATGTTTGAGGATTGGATTATATACTACTTCCAAATGTATGCAAGCTTAAACCCTAAATCGTTTAGGGTTTATGATGGATAAAGCCCACCTTATGAATTCAATTAGCCTTTTTTGTTGCAGTCACAGGCTTGGCTCATTTCTTCAGAAGCCCAGTTCATTAATTATGTTTTTTAAGGGGTGGTAAAACAAGTAGAGGAAAATGGTCCAAAATATTTGTACTCTATAACAATTTTGACTTTTATGTTTTTAATTTATAATTTAACTTGACCATCAATATGCTATTTAATGTAGGGATTTGTTAAACATCGCCCGCGTTTTTCTACATAAAGCCCACATTTTTTAAAAATGTTGACATTATTGCCCTTGTTTTAATTTTTACCGAAAATAAAATTTTTCACTCATAAAAAATGTGGAGCAGGACTGGATCGCCGAGTGAAACCGAAGAGCCCTCAACGTCGGGTAGATGCACCGGAGAGACGCCGTTGACGCCGGAAAAGGAGGTACGAAGCCATCTAAAACCACGAATTGGCGGCTGGCGTCCTGCCGGGACGCCGTGACCGTAGTGGTGGCGCCTAGCCAGGACGCCGCCACCGTAACTCTGGCGCCTGGCCAGGACGCCGCCACCGTGGCCGTGGCGTCTGGCCAAGACGCCGCCGCCACGGTGGCGGCGTCCTGGCCAGGCGCCACCGCCACGGTGGCGGCGTCCTGGCTAGACGCCACCGCCACGGTGGCGGCGTCCTGGCTAGGCGCCACCACTATTTTTTATTTTTTTTTTTTTAATTTAATTTAAAATTTGTTTATTTTTTTTTTTTTGTGTTACAATTTTTTTCTTTTTTTTTTGGTTTTTTTTTTGTTTTGTTTTTAATTGTTTTAATTTGTTTTTGTTTTTAATTTATTTATTTTTTATTTTTTTTTTTTACAATTTTTTTCGTTTTATGTTTTTTTTTTGTTTTTTTTTTTTGGTTTATTTTTATTTATTTAATCTAAAGTTTTGTTTATGTTTTTTATTTTTGTGTTTTGTTTTTTTTTTTTTTGAATACTTTTTGTTTATTTCTTTGTTTGTTGTTTATAATTTATTATTGTTTTTGCTTTTGTGCTAATGTTGTGTCAAATGTATTAATTTAATCTACTCTTATGTGATTATATTTATATGTTATTGTTGCAGGATTA